CTGTCTGGAGATTCTCAAAAAAATCAAGAAAGAAAAAATTACTTTCAATATTTTTTCAAAATGCTTCTACAAGCCTTAGCATATCCGACAATATCCCAAAAAACTCATGGCCAAAGAAGTCTAAAGTATTATTCGCCAAGATTGTATAATATGCTCCCAAATGACATAAAATTAATAGAAAGCTGCAAATCTTTTAAGGTAAAAGCTAAAAACTAGATATTTTTGAAAGGTATGTCCACCGGTCCAAGAATCGGTTCCAATACGAATAGTTAGAACAGGAAGGCCTCAGACAGTCAAGGACCTTTATTGAAGGTCAGGTCAAGACAACATAACTTGTTGTTTGGCATATTCACTTGTAGGAAAGATCTTAGCATTGGCACCTTGTTTTTATGCATGCAAAGAAACGGTGAACGACTTAAAATTATTTTATTCATGAATGAGTAATCTCCTCTTTCCTTGCCAAAAATTAAGGAACCGTCAAAATCCACAATTTGATTAATTCCAATTATACTGTACCTTTTAAGCGCCGGCAGGGAAAGTTAATTCCAAATTGTCATTTATAGGCTTCTGAAATTAATTAAAACGTACAATTGTGCAAACTTGACAGAGATGCTCACTTGAATAGTTTATCTAATCCGCTCGTTCCAAATTAAAATTTCTGGATCCAGCTCGGAATAATTCAATCAAATCTGGCAAAGAAAATGAAGTATCGTGTGGGAAGTGTTCGAGGACTCTGGCAGAAACTTGAAACTCTTTGGGGTTTAATTGATTTTTAATCGAAAATTATTTGTTGACAATGATAAAATACTTCAACCTGATGCTAAAAGCAACAACGCAATCGAAGTTTGGATTGAATCACGGAAAAAATACAGACAGTGAAAAATGGGTCGTTGGAGAAAATTGGCTTTACTCGGTTGAAGAAGTAAATACCTACTAAAAGGTTTTTTATAAGAGTGAAATTGACTTAATAATAATGATGGATAATGGAGAGAGAAAAGAAGAAGGCGAGAATAGCAGCTGCTGGATGATATTATAATGATATTGAAGTATTGGGTTTTTTATTGTTTTACTGCCCAGATTTGAGAAAATATTTCAACTGACTATCCATGCAAAGGATATTTTATTATTGATTGTGAAATAAAGAAATGAGAAAGAGAATTTCATCTCTTTAGGTCAGGTCGGGCCTGTTATAGGTATTTCATCAAATATATAAACGCAACGCAAACGATCTGTGCAGTGGCGTATCAACCCAGCTCCGGGCCTGTGTGCCAAAATCTCCGCGGGCCCATTACAGGTCCTTCTTTTGGATGCCACGCCAAAATTTTGACCCAAAAGTCGTTCAAAAAACACTCCTAATTTTTTTTTTAGGTATATTTTTTCTTAAACATTAAATTGTGAATTCATTATTTTCGAAATTGGTATGAATAACTTTGTATAGTATTTTTAATCCGACTTGAAACACTTGAAAAACCTCTAGTCGGCATATATCAAACAAAAAAAGGGCATGGGCGTCACATAAATTTTATTTCTTTAAATGGTGATAATCAATATCAAACAACACAACTAAATAATACGTGGAATAAAATAGCAAATACTATATAAATTGGGATGACACTGGTTATAGAAATCGCGTAGTCTAGTCAACAGTTGCACCTACATCGTTCCCGGAAAGACATAAGTTGCCCACCCTAATAATTAAACCTATAGACACGTGCCGACTTAAATTATTAATTTGGGCTACTGTAGCGATATTTCGTTGCTGCTTATATTTTATACCGGGTGATTGTCTATATTTTGCACCCATACCTATCTCACCTACTTGAAGAGATACCCAGAAATGTCAAATGTTAAAGTTCTAGAGTTCGAAAAAGGGGTAAATTTTACCCAAGTGTGAAAGTGGGTATATGGTCACGTGGTCAGAAGAGTAAATTTTTTCTAGTGTGTTTTCGAACGCACTGGTGTATAATTATAACCTAACATATAAAAACATAAATAACATTTAAGCCAAGTGTTCTGTGCATTTCATTTATCTATTCGTACCTATTTTATCAACTTCCGAGAAACAGAAAATAAAATAAATATATTTGACTAAATCTAATGCCCGTATTACATCTGTGTATTTTTCCGTGTATTTATTCATGTAGTTCAGGGTGACAACCGAAAAAATTCGAACGTAACAGAAATCAACATTATGAAAAACAAAATAATGTTGGCACCCTGAACTACATGTATAAATACACGAAAAAATACACAGATGTAATACGGGCATTAAAGTAGTAGATTTAAATGAAAAACTGACAAGAATGACAGGAGTGAAAGTTACCCAGCGGCAGAGTTGGTTAAGAAAGAGTGCACACTGGGTAGCACCCCGGATATTTTCGAACTAGCGTGAAAGTCAACCGGAGTTTATACCAATTCACTTTCGAACGGCTGGAGTGCACTCTGTGTGACGCCCAGACTGATTTCGCACTCCTAGGTAATTATCAGAAACTTTGCAATTAAGTTAGTTACAAGTATACAGGGTGTATCACAAAAGTGTGGCGAAGCAAATTTATACTTTTTTAAATGGAACACTCCGTATATTATTGACCAATCGGATTAGCCTTTCAAACCTGATTCTAAATATACTAGGTTTTTAAGGTTTATTCCTCATAGTCCAGCCTCTGAATTTCCCATTTATATTTTGCTGGTGGTCTCTATACTTCACCTTTTTCAATAAAAATGAATTATTTCGCCCCTTTTTTTTCTCCCGGACTATTAGGAATAAACCTAGTTTATTTGGAATCAGGCTTAAAAAGCTAATCCAATGGGTCAATAATAAATTGGGGTGTTCCATTTAAAAAAGTTCAACTTTGTTTTGCCACACTTTTGTGACTGTACATACCTGTAACTAACTCCATTGAAAACTTTCTGATATCACCTATAACTTTCACATTTGACATTTCTAGGTATCTCTTCAAACAGGTGAGATAGGCGTGGGTGCAAAATATAGACAATGACCCGGTACATACAGGAGGGAAACTTACAATAGATTTTCTATGAAATTAATAGAAGAAGAGCGATGTAATGTTGAAACATCCTTGTATAATGCAGTGTTTCAAATCAGAATGAAAATACTATACCGCTGCCGATATTTTTTTGCGCGTAGATAGACTATTATTGCCCATACATTAATCATTATTATACAAGCAAAAAAATGAAAAGACAATTAATAATTTTAGGTCTTTTATCTTTTGAAACATTTTTTTGCGGTTTCGATGTGGAGCTCACGGGCCCCTTTCGGGGCCGGGCCTGTGTGCTTCGCACACATGGCACACCGGTAGATACGCCACTGGACCTGTGAAGCAGCAAAAGCAAACAAAAACAAAAATTAATTAATTCCCTATGAAAAATATTTCAAATTTTCAACGGATAAACAATATTCAAAAACTAATATGTATATATTTACTGTTGGGTATGTTCAACATTCACTAAATCAGTACATCAAATGAATTATTTTATAAAATTATTCAGGCATTTTGTTACGGATAATAAAACAATTTTTATTAAACTACTAAATATGTTTTGGGAAATAAATAAACTTTATTTGAATAAAAATTTTCGGGATTAGAGTGAAATTTTTATGGGAAATGCTATTTAAGTCCCGTTAGCTTTTAAGTTTGGAGTTTCCATTTTTTTCTCTGGATCTGTTGAGATTGTTCAGCACTCTATTATATTTTGCATGTCGAAGCTTTTCGAATTATTTTCAACAAAAGACCTTACTCAACCCTACCCAAATTCCTCTCATACTAAAATTCAATGATTTTATTCGAATTAATAATTTCCATAAAATAAAAGTACCGTAAAAAAACAACTTGCTTATTAATTAAAATATAAATCTGAAAACTGCTTTCAACTTCTCTAACGAAATGCAACAACTCCGACTTTGACAGAAATAACTTTTGTAATTTCCGTTTTCGAGTTTCGGTCGTTAGAGAACCAAATAACTTTCCCCAAGCTGCGTTTCCGGAGTTTGCAAAACTACAACTTATATACCGTCCTTATAGGAGCGATTTTTTTTACTTAGGGCAGTCCTTTTGTACGATTGTGCGAAATGCAAATTTATTATAACGATTCCTTTGTTGTCGAGGGTCCCCGAATTCGGAAAAGTCTGAAAAGAGGCTTGTTTATGATTCAAGTCGTTGTTGTTAGAGTTTTTACGGAAGTGCGAAATTTTATTTTGTTGTTTGAAACAACTTTTATTGTTAGGTACCGTCGCTACCTGTGTGTAACGGCTAAGTAAAGGAGACTTAGTTTTAGAATTAATAAAGGCCAGAAATTAATGCGGTAGCGTGCCACCAGGGATTTGACTGAAATCCCACAGAAAACTAGGACTTGATTCTTATCGGCAAAGTGCCTTTATTAATCCGGGCTCTTGCTACCAAGCTGTGCGTATGGACGTGTAACCCTGCAGAGAGGAATTTGTCTGTCTTGGCTGGTTAAATAAAAGAGGAAATCAGTACCTCGATTGTAAAATGTATATATTTACAGTTAGTTAGATATTGAACACTTAAAAGAAATTGCCGTTGGGCATTGACTAGGCTAGAAATTTAAATATAAATTTAAGAAAGAAACAAAATAGAAAACAATTAGTATAGAGTATAATAAGAAAAATGGTAAAGTTAAAATAGGAATCAATTGCTTAAAGAAAACGAACTGGTCAGGATAATTGAAAAGTAATTACAGAGTTATTTCGGGAAATTTAACATTATATACAGAATATCTTAAAGCTATATAGGGGAATATCCTCGACTAGTAGACGGGGTACAGGGTAGAACAAAACAGCCTATTATTGATATCATGTTTGATTAGTCAGGGGAAATCAGAGACTAGTTCTAGACGGAGAATGCGGTGTATGATAAAGAATAAATAGTCAATACTATTGACGGGTTCAAGAAATATAAATTTGAAGAAAACAGTAAGAAAAGAGAAAATACAAGTTGAAAGAAACTGAAACCTACCTAGGTATGTATGATGTGAGGAACTTTAGCGTTTCTTTGCACCAGAATTTGTCACAGGACTGAACGATTTTTGTGGCGGCTCGGGCCTCTTTTATAGCGCTAAATTACGTGATGTGTATAGGCTTATCAGTTGAAAAATAATATATTTTTTCTTAGGAATTTTGCGACTTGGCGATAAAATAATCGTTTAATTTCTTTTGGCGACTAAATAACCTTTGACTGGTCAAACTATATCATGTGCGAGAATGATGAAATCTTTTTGGTTGAAATAATTAATTACTCAGGGATATCAGGCAATATCCAATTTTTCCGTTCTTAGGGCTGTTTAAAAAGGGTGTTTTAGGCTGGTTTGTAACATTATTTGTTTCGCCTTATCAGTAAAATCCTCTATAATTTTTCTACAATCTTATCATTAAGGGATAAACGCATACCTTCCTCAGAATCAGAATCAGAACGTTTATTTACAATATTTACATTATATCTTATAGCTACTTTATCCTAATTATTAGAATAATATGGAGTGGTAGCGGCGTCCAGGCGATTGTGACACTTTGCTGAGGCTATTTGGCCCCTTATAGCCCCTTGTGGTCATTTTTCAGTTTCAACTTCCAATATTGGTCCAGTCTAGTCATTGTACTGTGTGTCATTCCGTATTTGCCGTGCGTTGTGAAGGGAAAAGTCGCTAAAAACCCTTCTTCTCGTTTCTTTTGTGTTTAGTCAGTTGGCCCCTATCAGGTTAGCAGAATTATACACGGATGTCAGGATAGTTATCCAGTTTTTAGTTTTAGCTTTATGCTGTTTTTATCCGTGATTTGTTCCTCTACACTGATCAGGGGCCTCATTCTGTAAAGAACGAACCGTTCGATTCGGTAAAATTTCTTCGATTGTGACGACATTTTCGGCATTTTCGGAATAGGTTCCACGCTAGCAAACCGAAAATGACGTCACAATCGAAGAAATTCTACCGAATCGAACGCTTCGTTCTTTACAGAATAAGGCCCCAGGGCGGTTAATAGTAAATGGGTAGTCTGTGGTGGATTGGCCGGTGCGTTACGGGGTGGTATGGGTCGTGTTTAAGGGTTGTGAGGTCTCTGGTGAGGGTTGGTCCATGTAGAGTTTTTCTGAAAAGCTTCAGCGAAACTTCGTTGAAGTATTCCAGAATTGTGTCAATCTTTGCTAGTCTGTGCACTTCCACTGTCCGGGTGTACCTGGGCAGTGAAAGGGCGGTTTTAAGTATTTTGTTTTGGTAGCGTTGCAGTATTTGTTTCTGTGTATTGCTGATGTAGCTCCATGCTGGTGCGGCGTACAGCAAGGAGGGTCTGATGATTGTCTTGTAAATGTGTAGTCTGCTTTGTGGGCTGAGGAAGGAATTCGATTTCATAATGGGGGCGAATAGTCGCCCGGCCCTATTCGCCTTCCGTATCGTGTTTTTTACCTGAGAGAGGCCTCTGAGGGTTTTGTCAAGGACCACCCCCAGGTATTTAACTGTTGTTTTCGGTGTGATGACGACATTATTTAGTGTGAGTGGAGGTTCCATGATGTTGTTAGTCCGTTTCCTGGTTATTGTCAGTAGTAGGGTGTGATTAAGTCCAAGTGGTGAACCAGCGCTTTCCTTGCATCTTCTGCAAAGAAGGCGCTGGTGTATAGTGCCGTGTCGTCTGCATACATCATTATGCTGGTGTTTCTAGTCTTTGGTATGTCTGCTATGTACAAGTTGAAGAGAGTCGGTGAAAGTACGGTGCCCTGTGGGACACCGGCTTTTATGGGTCTTGATCTGGATAGTGCGTGTTCTGTCTTGATTCTAAAGTTTCTGTCGCTTAGGTATGACGCAATTAGTGCTGTGTAGTGTAGTGGAAAAGTATGTTTTGCTAGTAGCTTGTAGATTAGTCTTTTGTGCCATACCTTGTCGAATGCCTTTTCGATGTCTAGCAGTAGCAGAAAGGTGCTTTCATGGTTGTTGAAAGCTATTGAAATGTCTTGTGCAACTTTCGCTACTGCTAGGGTAATGTTGTGGTTGCGTCGGAATTGTTCTGGTGGTAGGCAATGTAGTTTGTCGATTGTTTGTATTATTCTGTGGAGTATGAGTCTTTCGGCGACTTTGCCTAGCGAGGCGAGTAGCGATATTGGTCGGTATGATTGAGGCAGTGTGTGGTCTTTTCCGGGTTTGGGGAAAACTATTATGTCAGCTTGTTTCCACGGTCTTGGAAAGTGTTGCAGGGTTATAGTTGCATTAATTATCTGGAGAAGCTGCATAATAGTTTTCCTCGGTAGGTTTTTGATTAACGTGTTGCCAATCGTGTCTGGTCCTGGTCTTTTGTTGTTTTGTAGATTTTTAATTGTTTTCGTCAGTTCAGTGGGCGTTACCAGGATCCTTTGCAGAACGGTGGGCGGGATTGGGTATTTCTGCATGACAAAGATGTCCGTTGTGTTTGTAATGTGAATTTGTGTGTTGGTCGTATTGGGTGCTTCGTCGAATATTGTGCCAAAGTGCTCTGCCAATATCTCGGCTTTGTCATTTTCCTTGTGGTAGCTGACGCCGTTCGCAACTATTTAGTTCAGTTTGTTGTGCTGCCGGTCTTCTCAGGTTTTTGGCCAGCTTCCACAAGGAGCTGTCCTAGAGATGAGACATGCTTCATCCAGGTTCTGTTTCTGTGAATCCGTATGTCTCTCTCTATTTCCTTTTTCATAGTTTTGAGTATTTCTTTGTCTAGCGCCTTTGCCATGCTCTTTTTACCCTGTTCCTTTCTTTGATTAGTTCTACAATGGTTCCTGGGATGTTGTCGATTCTGTCATTTATTGTTATTTTTGTTGCAAGCTGGTTTCTTATTGTCTGGATATTGTTAGTAAGGGTTGCGACTTGTTTTTCTAATTCTTGAATGGTGGAGATGGCGGTTGGTATCGCGGTGAGGTTGTTTAGTCTTTCTTTGTAGCGTTGCCAGTTGAAGTTTTTGTACGAAAATACCTTCCGAAGTTCATGCGCCGGAGGGTGGTTTTTCCGGTGCAAGAAAATCGGTCGGTGGTCAGGACCTAGTATGTCTTTAGTCTTGATGTCAATGTTTGTGAGGCCCCTGGACAGGGCGATATCCAGTGTCGATGGGTGTCTCCCTGAGCTGGGGAAGTGAGTGTAGTTGTTGGGGTGGTGTAAGAGTGTGTTTGGGTTGTTATTCAGGTAGTTGTTGAGGACGTTGCCTGCCCTATTAATATCGTTATTTAGCCAAGAAATGTGTTTGGCATTAAAAGGTCTCCAATCAGTAGGCCCCTCCCATTTCTTGGAAAGAAGACCCTTATGTCATTCACAGATCTTATGACTCCTGGAGGGGCGAGCCCCCCGAGATCCACAGATTGTTTTCGATTTCGAGTGTAACATGTTCAATATTTGTTCTTAGATTTGGGTGCCTTTAGTATTGGACGGATTTGGTATAAGGCAGGCAACGCCCCCCCCCCCCCTATTGTTGGGTCTGTCCTGTCTTTCGATTTTATAGTTTTTATGTTTGAGAATATCGGTTGCTTGTAGTTTAATTTCGTTAAGGAATACTAGTTTGGCACTGTAATGGTTGATGGTTTGATAGAGGTCTTCTCGTTTTGACCCCATTACAGTTAAGTATTAACCACATTAAAAGTTGAAACTGTGTATTTCCTGGCTGAAAAATTGCATGGTTGTTTGCATAATTAATGTTTTATCACCGTTGCAGTTTTTCAAGAGTTCAACATACCTATTTAGGGCTTTTAACAGCTCAGCGATATTAACTAGTGAGTTAAGTTCATTCATTGTGTCTGTTAATTTGAAGAAATCGGCCTGGTTGCCACTTACCACTCCGTTTACATTTGGTTGTTTTATGTTAATGGTTTGCCTAGATCGCCGCTCCGGGAAATCTTGATTATACCCCTCAAGCGACGGCCGAGGTATCAGACCATGGAGGCGGTGCAGTTTGTGTTTGTGCGCTTGGCCCTGCCCTCGATTGCCAAGTTGGAGTTTTCGGAGGAGGCGCTGGGACAAACTTCTTCCTAGGTTCTAATGGCCTGATCTGTTTAGGTAAATAGGGCAGTTTTCGTCTATGGTGCGGTGAGCACCCCCGCAGTTGGCACATTGGTTTTTAGTGCTGGTGCAAGCGGTAATTTCTGATTTAGAAATTTCAGGGTATATAGGAGTCTAGAATTACTAGGTACATCGCTTCATACTTAGTTTTTATTCGAAAAACGTTTTTGGGCTTGATCTGGTAGCGGTCTTTTAGGTCTTCAGTAAGCTCGGGGATGCTTATATCTAGCCCCCTTAGTACAAAGGCGTGTCCCCTGGTGGCCTTTTCGGCGTAGGTGTGATGCTCCATTTGCTCTGCTTCGAAGTCTCGAAGCAGCGTTTGCCAGTCGTAAATTAATTCACAATAAATAATTGTTGAGTTCCTGGCATACCTTATGGTGTATTTGGTTATGCCAAGTTTTAGGAACAATTCATTCAATGCCTTGTGGTTGTCAAATTTTCCTTTCACCACTATTGGGGGTGGCTTTTCAGGTTTTGGTACTGCGAGGGTGTTTGATTTGCTAGAGGCTGCTTGGCGGGCTTTCTTGGCGATTTGCTCTTTATGGGTTGTAGAGCTTTCGATTGAGGTGACGCTTGCATCATCGTTGCCGTCCGTGTCGTCTGTGTTTAAATCCTCGAACCTGTTGCTTATGGGGATCGGAACTCCAAAGTCCAATTGGCGAATTTTTACTATTTTGTTGAAGCCTAGGGTTTTCATTGGGACATTGAATCCGTCATCTCTAAGTTGGCATTGCTACAGCTCGGTGTGGGTTCCGGTATAATGACTGGTAGCTGTTCAGGAGTTTTTATTTTCGGTGTTGTTGTTTTGGTAGTAGTCGCATTCTTTGTTATTTTTTTATTTTGCAGGTTTTGTGTTGTAGCGCTTTTTGCTGCTGCCGTGTTTGTGGAATGTGTTTGGGCGATACGGTGTTTGGCTTCTGGCGTTTTTTGCGCTCGTATAATTTATGCGTGTTTTTTAAGTGTTCTATTGCACTGTTTAAGGACATGATATCGTAAGATAAATTGGTACTTGCCGAGCTTGGGGACAATGCCCCTAATTCAATTGCCAATGCATCACACTCTGTACACTTTCCGTAGAATATAGCTAGTTTCGTTTTCACTTGTTTTATCTTGGTTCGATTCGAAAGCAGTAGGAAAGTCCAGTCCCGCGACGCTGGTCTCTGCCCGACCGACGGTCGAATAGAGAGTGCATACCTTCCTACTCCTACCTCTAATATTTCTGAAGAAACTTTTTTTTTTGGAAGTCCCTATACAAACATAATAAATCATTGTGTAATTGAAAGCTAACAAATCATGATACACGTATCAGAGTTATTATTTAAAAATTTTGATTTATGTGGGTATAGGTGCCTATAGCACCACCGTCAATAGGAGTTACGAAACTTTGTTGATAAGACTTGTTGCGAAACTTTAACAGGCGAAGAGGAAAAGTTTGCGAAACATTGTATCAGAGTTATTGGAAATAGAGCATATTAAAGTTTGCTAAAGTTTTAACAAAATGTACTTGATACTAACATAATATTTTATTTTTCATTTAATACTTATAGTGGTTGGAAAAATAGACTTCCCAATTCCTAAATCTGTATTTTACATTAGTGTATGCGACAAACTTGCACTGATGCCTTATTTATTATTTAAGTGTGGTGCAGCAAAAAGCTTCCTCAAATCCCGATTAAATATTAAAAGAACTGGCTAAGCTCAAGGATTCTGCATATTTAATTAAGCACAATTTACAAAAATTTACGCTTGCTTAACTTAGTTCATAATAGAAAACTACATAATTGTCATTTGTTATGGATCTTTTCATTAAAATAGATCGAAAGAATAATGGAAGATAAAACTAAGTCAATAACACCGAAGAAGAAAGAAAATATGAATGATTGCAAACTTAAGAAGAAGAAAGAAGAGAGTTATATAGCACTTTGTTAGAGTTTGAGAGATAAATCAATTAATCAATTTGCTAGCTAGCTAGGAAACTGAGAATATAAAGAATGAATTTTAGCATCAACCATGCTATTAAATCTGGTTCTATAAAATGTTTCCAATACCTATTTAATTTTTCCTTCTAGAAGCGTCGATATATTCGATAATACTTAAATACAGTTTAAAGTTCAACATTCAATTTCCTCAATGGACAAAAAAATCTATTCTACCCCATAGACGAAAAGCGAAATAAAAGGGAGGTGAAAATAGCTCATGAAATATTTCACGCTCATTTTACCCCGAGGAAAGCAGAATTGCCATTTTTATTTTTGTCGCCTTTAAAGGGTTATATTTAATGGAATACTGGTACCTACCTGTGTCAAGTCGATTTTCGAGGGCAAACATTGAACAATCCCATCAAGGTATTTTTGAATGTGTGAAACGAATATTCGGTTTCATTAATAATAATGTTCTTTATAAATGCATAATTCTAATCAAATATTTGATCTACAAAAATAAAAATGAAACATTCTACTGTGCTGGAAATAATAATATATTTCATTCATTCATAATGTGTTTAGTATCATTACATTGAAGGTTTTTACTCAATTGCAGTATTATACCTAATACAAAGTGCATTTTTCTTTTAGGTAACATATTTAATATTTAGATCTTTCCTAATTTTTAAATGCTACACTTATGCTGTACTTATATTTCCATTTCAAGTTTCTCTATTAACTAAACAACAATATTTATCACTGAATACATTTCAAGACGACATAACTGATAGGTAGGAATAGGCAAGTTTGAACCTCTGAAACAAAATGATAAATTTAATATATTTTGAGACCCATATAAGTGATAATGCATATGAAAAATTCAATATGTTTTGCGACTTTTACAAGTGATTATACATAACTTCCTCAACAACGATCTATATATTATATTATTTCAAGATTCACTAATTTAACACAGAATCGATCCCTTAAAGGAGAACGAAAGATCTTACCGATAATGCTGCGTCAATTGTCAAGGGTCCAAAAGGACCGATATGGACCGATAGGGGCTTCTGTGTTCTCATCAATAAAATAAATAGCAACTGATTGGTCCGTTTGTCTTGTTCGTACCAGTTGCTTTCATATACAGCCATTCCTAAGTTTGTACTCTGAAATATTGGATTTGTATTTGTCTTGATATATTTTTCATGTTAATGTTATAGTTTAGTATTTACCTGTAATTGAATTTCGTTGGCGTTATAAGAGAGTATAAACCAACCAAATGCAAGGATGCCAATATAGATACTGTTGAAAAAAACTTTCTTGCCCTAAAACATGAAATAATAATGAATTTATTTAAACCCTCTAATTTTCTGTTGGCTAGTTTATAAACTAGCTGGGTAATTATTTATGAACTCACAAACTTTGGTTATAATGATTGACTAGAGAATTTGTAAACCAGATGTTGGTCCTCAATAATTTATATTATTGATTAATGGGTTCGTTGCAACTTCGCTGAAGAAAATTTAGAATTCAATTCATGTCAATTGAGTCAGTTGAATATTCAGGGCATCAATTTGCTGCTCTAGCGCCATTCATGATATTCGATTGGAGTAAAATGAGTGTCAGATGCAAAAAGTTATGAAATAATAATTGTACAATATTTATTTGACTCCCCTATGAGATACCAACTGAATATTCCTTGAAACTGAGAATTCAAATCGATTACTTACACTTATCACTTGTAAAAGTATTGATGCTAACATTGCTGAGAAAATTGCGTATTCGATAAAAATGTTCACACGTAATGCTTTATTCAGTTTGGAAGTTTGACTGAAACATAGAGAAAACCATGAGAGTGGAATAAATAAAACTTTTATTCAATTTTTACAATACCTACCTAATAATATTCTGATGATCTCTAATAAGCTTTTTCAAATTCAAATAAGCATCTTCCTTGGATAGTTTTTCATCTGTAGTATAATCCCTAGTAAAATTCCAAATATTATGTTGCAGTATTTTAATTTCTGCAGTGATTTGGGTCATCATCGTTACAGGCATTGTTTGTAGCCAACTATAGCATAAATTTGAGTACAATACAATATAAAATTGATATCCCAGTACTAGTTTGTAATGTTCTCCGTGAGAAAAGGGATACCAGAAGGGTAATTGCAAGGGCATATTTTCCAAGCTGTCGTGGGTTCGTACGTACTCTAGATCTTCGAAGACAGCTAAGAAAAATCGTCATATTAAATGAATAGTTTTTATATACTTACATATAAACGGAGCTGTCAATATTTGAAGTAAATTACTTGAAACTTTAACTATTTTACTTTAATTACTTTTTTTGTTATGTACTTGTACTTCCAATATCTATTTTAAAATACTTGGATTTTTACTTGATCATGTCAGGTGTCAGGGACGCTATTAGGTTACCCGAGGGCTAGGGGCATCCTATTTTTTACCCCTTTTCCCTCTTCAATACACAAGAAAAAGTATGATGGAAAGCAAGGAAATGGAAAATTCGTTTACGGAACAGAGGAGGGATACCTCAGTTCCGGTCGATGTGAGTGGTGAGAAAGCGGGCCCCCCTCGACCGTTATCCAATGACAGCACGGCACCTTCAGCAGGGGACCAGGCTGGAGTGCTAATTGGAGCTACTGGAACGAACACAGGGCTATTGCCAGAGGATGCAGATGACACACCAAGGAAACAAGGCGAACGTAGATTCTCTACTACGACCATAGACCTAACATAGGACGAACATACGAATGCCTCTATAGAAACGAATACAAAGAGACTACCTACCTGGCTGAAACTCTCAAAAAACCAGAGAAGCAACTCTGTTAGCTTTGATGGAATAAACAAAAGGAAACGCGCGGAAGACTCCAGTCCAGGGGAGAAAGAAGGGACATATAAAAGGAAGGAAAACCCGGAATGCTTCGTCCTCAGGGAAGCACTCCAGATGGTCTATTACTTAAGCTCTGAGCTCGACCAACACATGGAACAAAATACGCAGCGGGCTATAAAAGAGATTGCAGCTAAACTCGCAAGACCAGCAACCACACTGAAATGCACTAAAATCACAGAGTGGCTCGAGGGAAAAAGCTATGAATACGCGGAAAAAATGACGTATACTAGACAAGCCCTCATAAACTCGAAAGGCAAACTACCGAACAGATACCAGCAGCTCGCAGGACCTGTGATGCGGAGACCCCAGCCGCTGAAAAAAACGTACCAACGGGGAACCAACTTCTATGCCCAAAGTGCAAAGCAAAGTTCGCTTGGCACAACACGAATGTCGACACTCTTGACTCACTGGAGGAAATTAAATCCTACGACGACTGGCTAGGCATCAGCAACAAAAAATGGGATGAAAAAACTCAACAGTAAAAGTAGTCCTTGTAGAACCATCAGATAAGAGTATGGAGAACAGCATCCAACACATGTTCAAGAATAGATACCCGGAACTCACTGAGACAGATAAAAACTTCGCCGTACTAGAGTAAAGCTGAAGATGGAAACTCAGCCACGAAATTTCAACCCCGCAAAAAATCGTAAAAATAATGGGGACAAGGACAATGATTTATGGGACAGATTGATAGAACTCAGACGAGAGACAAATGACGATGAGTGGATCACCATGCACCACACCACATTGAGAGGTGCAGCAACGAAAATCTGAGAAAAATGGTGGAGTCCATATTCCACGGCGGAAAAACACATGTGACTATTTTCATCAACAGAAAGCAGCCCACAAACACACAGAGGAACCACCAAAGCCCCCCGACGCTAATAATACGCCAGGAGGGTAAAAGTTACGAGGAAATAGTCAGAACGATGAAAGAAAACCTCAAAGGCAACGCAGCTGCTCGCACCATCAGATCAATCAGAATGACTAGAAATAAAAACGTTCTTATCACTATGGACAAAGACCCCTCGGCCGTATACGCACTAAAAAAGGCAATTGAGAATACATCAGACGACATAAAGGTCCGCACAAGTAATAGAAACATGGAGACTATACACATGAGGCCTAGACTTCACTGCCACTAAGGAAGAGGTAAGAGAGGACATCGAAGAGCTCTTGGGTAAGCTCATCGAGGACGAACTCCAAATAAGCAATTTGAGGTCGAACGCCAGAAACACACAGGTTATAACAGTGACCTTAGACGTACAAAAAGCGGAAGAATTGCTCAAACACAAGTATATTCGTGTAGGGCTAACGAGAATCACCGTTCCTCGGTGCGAGAAATGCTGGGCATATAACCACACCACAAGCAAATGTAACGGCCCCGAAAAAAAAAGAACAAGTGTTTCAGGTGCGGTAAAGAAGGCCACATGGCCAAGATATGTAAAGAAACCGAGATAACATGCCTTGTCTGCCAGGTAGCTAGACACAAAACTGGATCTGCAGGATGCCCTGCATTCCGACGCGCCCTATCCGTGTCAAGAAAAGAACCCTGTTACGACCAGGTAAAAGTATCGGAGGTAGAGAGACACGGCAACACAGAATCCCAGTAGTCTATACAATGCCAACTACCCTGCCAGTCATCCAAATCAACCTAAAGCGCTGCCATGCTGCCCACGACCTTCTAGACGCAACAGCAATGTAACTAGATATAGATATCCTGGCTATCGCTGAACCCAACCGCAGTAAAGCGGCAAACAACGAATGGCACACCGACTCAGCAGCAGATGCAGTCCTTAAGGTTACTAGGCGTGATATACCCTACCTCAACAAGGGTGCAGGCGGAGGCTTCGCTTACATCAAGCTAAAAGACTGCACTATATACAGCTGTTAATTCTCCCCAAATGCGAGCACGGAGGACTCCGTGGTCGACCTCACAAGCACTAGGGAAAGAATAGGTTTTAAAATTAAAAAATGGGAAGTTCTCAGCCACGAGACCCTAAGCGACCAAAAATACGTCTATTCTGAAATTGACCACTCCGCCCAGCACCAGGATAAAACCCTGGATCTGGAACACCAAGAAACTCGACCAGGAGAAACTGGATGCGTCCATCGTCAAGGCTGCGAATTTCTCACCCCCAGTGGACACAAATTAATTAAACCAGTTCCTTCACGTCTTCTGTGACGCGTCAATGCCCCGCCGCTCCAATAACAACATCAGATGCCCTGCCTACTAGTGGTCACAAGAAATCGGGGAACTAAGAAGGGCATGCCTAGAAGCAAGAAGAAGGATGACAAGAAACCGCAGAAGGAGTAACAGCGACCTATACGAGGCTGATAGGCGAATATATTCCAAGCAAAAAAAAAGAGCTGAGCTTGGCCATTAACAGCGCGAAGAGAAACTGCTGGAATGCGCTATGCGAAGAGCTAAATGAGAACTGCTGGGGCGACGGCTACAAGATTGCTACCAGAAGGCTCAAGATGAGGCCCGCAAGTTGGGAGTTAACCATCGATCAAGCTAAGCAAACAGCAAAAGAATTGTGTCCGGCGCGCCTGGAGACAAAATGGAACCACATCGTGCAACACGACATCCCAGACCTCACGGCAGTCAATGCTAGTCAAAGACTAAAACCCCGCAGAGCTCCTGGATTGGACGGCGTGACGGCCGACATCATTAAAGCGAGCGCACCCAAATGCCCGGAGCTATTTCGCGTTGCAATGGACAGTGGGCTTAAGAGCGAAGAGATCCCCGCATCATGGAAGAAAGCCAAGTAAAGGCTCATTCCAAAGCCTAAGAAGGACGAAACTGAAACACAAAAATATAGACCCTTGTGCCTACTGGACTCCGCTGGCAAACTTCTAGAACAGATTATCCTCTCTAGGCTTACGGAAACCCTGAACTTGACAGAGAACCTCTCGGACAGACAATTTGGCTTCAGGCGCGGCAGGTCGACCACAACTGCCGTACAAAAACTCCCGGATACAGTCAAAAATGGTATTTACAAGAAATCTCATAGGCATAGAAGAATAGGCGTCGTCATAATCCTAGATATTAAGAACGCCTTCAACTCGGCCCCCTGGCACGAGATCATCAGAGAAATCACTAAGAGAGACGCCCCCATACCTTGTAAGGCAAATACAGAACTATCTTACTAATAGAAGAATAGTTATAGAAGCTAAAGATGACCTGTGGCGTGCCACAGGGATCGATCATGGGTCCCACCCTGTGGAACCTCTTATATGACGGCCTACTCAACATAGCACAACCGGAAGAGTTAACCGTCATAGGTTACGCAGATGACATCGCCTTTGTAGCACTGGCAAAAGACACAGATAAGATACGACTAAAGGTGAAAACAGCAATAACAAGAATAGAAGCATGGCTACGGAGCAACCAGCTCGAGCTGACCGCCGAAAAGACGGAAATTCTACTAGTTTCGGGCAAGAGGCACACCCCTGTATTAACCATGGACATCGGAGGCAAGGAGACCACCACGAAATCGCAAATAAAATACTTGGGGTTGTGGCTAGACTCGAAGCTAAACTTTGGTTCTTACGTTCGGAAAACGGCAACCAGGGCCAGTAATACCATGACCGCTTTGAGCAGGCTAATGCCCAATATCGGGGGACCGATGGCCAGCAAGAGAAGGTTCAAAGAAAAAGGCATCATCCATTTTTATCCAAGAGACCAAAGGCAAGATTTTTGAAGATAACAAAAACAAAGTCACAGTCTCATAATTTATTTGATTAGCTACACGTGTTTCGTTCAATAGAGCTCAATATGTGTGTTAAGGGTGTGTATTTCAAGGCCTGATGATGCTCTATTGAGCGAAACACGTGTAGCTAATCAAATAAATTATGAGACTGTGACTTTGTTTTTGTTATCTTCAAAAAAAAGAGAAGGTTCATCTGCGCGGTCGGCAGATCTATTCTGTTGTATGGCGCCCCGGTCTGGGGCTCGGCAATCAGTAAAAAGACGAACCTACTTAACTATGAAAAACTACACAGACAGGCTGCTATTCGTATTACCAGCGCCTATCGAACCACATCCACGGACGCCCTCTTTGTGATAGCCCAACTGCCACCTATCGACCTGCTGTTTGAGGAGTCTATGGCCCTATCGCAGGTTGGCGACCCCGAGAAAAACGCAACACGTAGAGCACTTAGGGAAACCCTAGTCAGGAAATGGCAGAAAAGATGGCGACATAGTACCAACGGAAGATGGACAGCGAGACTAATACCAGAGATAACAACATGGCTGGCAAGGGAACATGGCGAATCTGACTTCTACTTGACGCAACTGTTGACGGGACATGGATGCTACAGGGACTACACTCTAGGAATCAACAAATCGAATAATGGCGATTGCCTATACGGTGGGGAGAACGACACCGTCGAACGCACCTTTCTTTTCTGCAGACAGTGGAACGCACAAAGGGAAACCTACTGTGAAAGCACCGGCACAATGATCACACTTGACAATCTTATTGAAGTAATGCTGACAAGCCAACATAACTGGGGTGAGATCCGCAAGATGGACAAAGAGGGGATGAAAGAGCAACTTAGGCCAATCCGGAATATGTATAAGACAAGTAATGGCCAGCCGATTGAAGTAATGCACAAGCGGTCCCAATCGGTTTCCCACACTGTCCTAGGGCACCGGAATAACAAGGCACTATTTCGTGCGAGAACATTTTTTAATGTAGTTTTTGGGAAAATTGGAAAAAGTCAACATTGAGGCTCAATAACTTAAGAACTTTTCGAGCTATCAAACTCAATTTTACACGGATTTATAGAGAATTTATTGCTCTTCCCAATGGTACATAGTTTATTCCAATTTGCTCTAAATTTAAAAATAAGATTTCCTTTTTATTTTTATTTCTGTTCAAAATGGCAATTTGAAAATGATGTCAGGGTTATTTTCCAATAATTTGGACCCGCTTTATCGATTGGTAAAGTCAAAATTGAACAAAACTGAAAAATAAAAATAAAGAGTTTTTATAAGGGTACTTTGCACTGGTATTTTCTTGTTTCCGACTAACCCCTAAACCTTTCCATGTTAGTATGAATTCAATCCTATGTACAGTTTTTGAATGTATGCTGGAATCATGCTTCGCTTGATTTTCAGAACTGAGACTGAGATATACAAAATTTTACTCGAATCTAATAACGAAAAATATAAAAAATTACTAAGAACCAAAGCATTTTAGTACTAATAACATAAAGCTCTGATAATGAAGTAAATTGCCTGAAGAAATTCAAGTTAATTTCATGTTTACTTTATAATCAAGGTAAAATTTTAAAAAACTTGTACCTACTTGTACTTCAACTATTTTCGTAATGTACTTGTACCGGCTCTGCATATACTTACCACCTACTATAAGATAGACACCAACAAAATATGACCAAAATGTTAAAAATATATTTAGTTTATTGGCATATTGCCCGTAACTTGTATAAACCGATTTAATATATTTATTCCCATTTTTCGAAGCTTCATCTACTTTTTCAATTGCCCGGTGCAATACATCGGTCATTCGCTTTGTTCTACAAAAGGCCATTTTGATCATCAATAGAAAGACTGACATGAATATGGAAAAACATTCAATAGCTAAAACAGAATAATTATTGTTACATAAAGGAAAAATTACCAAAAGAATTTGTGTAATACCTTTGTCATTATTCACTCCTACTAGCTCATAAAATTTCAGAACCAACATTACTATGCACGAATGATAAGGAACAAAAAGAATTATAGAATAAATTTTATAAATTTTATTCCACGTTTCTGACTTGCTAGTTAATTTCAGGTCCCAAGTTCCGGATAAAATCATCAACCATTTCGTAACCTAAGCAGAAGAGGGTTTTTTTTTGGATTATGCTAAAGAAGATACTCACCTGATAAGTCATGGCTAATAAAGCTAGAGTGAGTTTAATTCAAAAAAAAAAAATCCTTTATACATACTTGTATCGTATCGTATCGTATCTCACATATATGTACCTATGTATTAAAAAAATATATTTTGTTATAAATAGTCCGGGATCCAGTTACGGAGAAAAAATTGTATGTGTTATCTGTCCTCTTATATTATTTTATTGGTGGAGGCCAGACTATAAAAATTCTTATACAACAAAACTCGAACAGGGGTGGTGTCGTGAAAGGGGCGGATCATACCCTCCCCGATCAGAGGCCAATTGAGAATTTTGGTTGGAAAAGTTTACTGTACACTATTACATAAAATTATTCTTGTAGTGAGACTTCCCAATGTATTTAATTATTAAAGAAATAAACGACATACCTAATATTTAATTGAATCTACCTTATAGTATATCTCCAGGCTCAGAGAAAAATATGCAAATCTTCTAGGGCTTATTAAAGCTGATAAATACTGGGATGCTTTTCTAAGAACTTTCCTAAAACGCTTGTAAAAATGTGCATGGAATTCTTGATCATTTAGATCTTTCCTAATTTTTTATTGCTACACTTATGCTGTACTTATATTTCCATTTCAAGTTTCTCTATCAACTAAACAATAATATTAATAGCTGAATATATTTCAAGACGACATAACTGACAGGTAGGAATAGGCAAGTTTGAACCTCTGAAACAAAATGATAAATTTAATATATTTTGCGACTCATACAAGTAATAATTCATGTGATAAATACATAAATTTTGCGACCCATACAGATGATCATACATAACTTCCTCAATAACGATCTACATATGATATTATTTCATCATTCACTTATTTAACACAGAATCAATCCCTTAAAGGAGAACGAAAGATCTTACCGATAATGCTGCATCAATTGTCAAGGGTCCGAAAGGACCGATATGGACCGATAGGGGCTTTTGTGTTCTCATCAATAAAATAAATAGGAGCTGACTAGTCCGTTTGTCTTGTTCGTACCAGTTGCTTTCATATACAGCCATTCCTAAGTTTGTACTCTGAAATATGATAGTTACATAGAGCATAAAGTAGTATATTTTTCATGTTAAGATCGTTGTTTCGGAAGCATTCTCACATAAAACAGTGTGAAAAATAGTTGTATTATCGTATCGGTATAATAATTTACCTGTAATTGAATTTCGTTAGCGTTATAAGAAAGTATAAACCAACCAAATGTAAGGATGCCAATATAGATAATGTTGAAAAAAACTTTCTTGCCCTAAAACATAAAATAATAATAAATCTATTTAGGCACTTTAATTTACTATTGGCTAATTTATAAGATTATAAACTAGCTAGGTAATGATTCAAACTTGATTGACCAGAGAATTTGATGTTGGTCCTCAATAATTCATATTATTAATTAATGGGTTTGTTGCAACTTCGCTGAAGAAGATTTAGAATTCAATTCATGTCAATTAAATATGCAGTGCATCAATTTGCTGCTCCAGCGCCATTCATAATATTCGATTCGAATAAAATGTGTGTCAGATCCAAAAAGTTATAAAACAATAATTGTACAATATGTATTTGACTTCCCTGTGGGATACGAACTGAATATTCATCGAAACTGAGAATATGCAACTCCCGATTTTAAATCGATTACTTACACTTATCACTTGTAAAAGTATTGATGCTAACATTGCTGAAAAAATTGCGTATTCGATAACAATGTTCACACGTAATGCTTTATTCAGTTTGTATGTTTGACTGAAACAGAGAAAACCATGACAGTGAAATATATAAAACTTTTATTTAATTTTTACAATAGTTGAATATGAATTGACCTACCTACCTAATAATATTCTGATGATCTCTAATAAGCTTTTTCAAATTCAAATAAGCATCTTCATTGGATAGTTTTTCATCTGTAGCATAATCCCTAGTAAAATTCCAAATATTATGTTGCAGTATTTTAATTTCTGCAGTAATTTGAGTCATTATCGTTACAGGCATTGCTTGTAGCCAACTATAGCATAAATTTGAGTACAATACAATATAAAATTGAAATCCCAGTACTAGTTTGTAATGTTCTCCGTGAGAAAAGGGATACCAGAAGATTAATTATTGCAAGGGCATATTTTCCAAGCTGTCGTGGGTTCGTACGTACCCTAGATCTTCGAAGACCGTTAAGAAAAATCATTATAACAATTAAATATTTTTTATATACTTTATCAGAGCTGTCAATATTTGAAGTGAATTACTCGAAATTCTACTTCAAGTACTCTAAATATTTTACTTTAATTACTTTTTTTGTTATGTACCTACTTGTGTAGTGTTTTCAAAGTCAGTTGAGTTGAAACAACTGGTGGCTGATTGTTAATTGAATACTTTCATAAGAAATGCACTGCCACTGGTCAGCCACCAGTTGCAATTTATTTTTACCTTGTTCCAATTGAGACTATACTTCCAATATCTATTCTAGAAAAACTTGGATTTTTACTTGACGTATTTTGAGTACCTACTTATAATAAATAGGTTTCTTGATTTTATGTAAATAATAATTTTTGCAATTTTTTTTTTACAGTCGATAGCTATCTTATCAAATATCAAAATATGACAAACATTTTCAAAACTTAAATTAGTACAGGCAATTTGATTATATTTAAGCACCTACATTTAATCAAATCAAATCAAAAAATGCATAAATACATAACATTTTTATGTATTTATTTATAAAAATGTCGCAATTTACAAATAAGAAATAAATCTCGAAATACTCATATATACAATCACAAAGTACCTAAAACTAAATATCGTCAATTTCACCAAGTCTAGAACGATCCAAATCAAATCAATTAAGGCTAAAAGATTTGAAGTTATATGAAAGACAATATTTAAAACATAAAATCCAAGATTAAAATACAGAACATACAAGTACAATAAAAACATGTGCATATACAGAATAGGAAAAAAGTAAAATATATCATGAGTATAAGTCGCACAAAAATTAATAACATAAAACATCTTATAAGCAAAATTATCATTAAAAACTCCTCAACACTATAATATCCCTTTGACAGTAGAAGCGATTTAACATCTTTCTTAAAGTTTATTGTGTTAACTGTGACAGTTTGTTGAAACAGACTTAGGAAGTGTGTTTGTCTAGTAGTGCTCGAATTTTCTTTATGCTTTATTTATAGAGAATTTAATGCTCCAGTGCTGTGAATTCTCCCGTACGAGCAGCAACGCATTTGGGTATCCAAACTAACACTTCCGTTTTTTCTTCTTTTTGTGTCACCTGTGTGGGCAGAAACTCCTACTTTGGTAAGAAACAAAAATTCCTTTGAAAAATAAAATAAATCAAGAACAACTTGAATAAGGGGGAGGCGGCTCCCCCCAAGTCAATTTAAATAATTTAAATAGGAAAGAAATCAAAACCATTTTGGGTATCAGGGAAAAAAACAAAATCGTTAATTGCTCTATTTCTACAAATAATAGTATGGAATTTGAAGGTCAAGGTCAAGAGCCTATTAATTTTATTTTGGAATCTAACAATCAAAACACAAACTCAGTTAATTAAAAAAAAAAAAAGATTATACGAAGAATATGATTCCTCGCCATATGTAGTTGTTGTTGAATCAAACAATGAAAATATAGGAAAATTTTCTGATATAAAAATTGCTAAAGAAATTTTTGAGTTAAATTTAAATTCTGTGTATAAAGCTAAAAGTCAGGGTAGAAATAAAATTTCGATAGAATTTTCAGATTTCAATGCTGCGAACAAATTTTTAAATGATCAAAGACTGATAAGTAAAGGCCTACAACTAAAGATCCCTTTCAATTACACCTCCTGCAAGGGTGTTGTACGACAAATAGACTCAGACATTGATATTAATTCCCTAAAAAGGGGATTCAAATCCCAAATCAAAATCATTGATATAATTAGACTAAACAAAAGAACCCTAAACAAAGATTACAATTCCAGAGACCCTGATAGCAAAAAGTATGTCTACATGGCAACAAATTCAGTAATTCTTGTATTCGATGGAACGACCATGCCACGAGAGATCACCTTTTATGACTTACCCAGGCCTGTAGTTCCTTACATACCCCCAGTTACCCGATGTTACTCATGTTTACTCTTTGGTCACACAAAAAACAATTGCAAAGGGAAAAAAAAATGCTTCGATTGTGGAGAAACTACGCATGAAAACTATATAGATGAAAATTGAGAATCAAAAATATACTGTACTAAAAAATGCTACCATTGTAAAAGCCTGGACCATATAAGCATATCAAAGAATTGTCCAGAGTTTGTGCGGCGGAAAGGCATTAAAAATCTAATGGTATATATAGGATAACATTTCATATTATGATGCGCAAAAGATGTGCCCAAAAATATTTTCTTCCAATGGAGAAGCACCACAATATACCTACACTCCAAATGATTTTCCAAACATCCCAACAAAAAAATTTAAAGAAACTCAATCAACTTCTATCTCACAGAGACGCACCATCTCCCAATAATCTAATAGTAACAAACGATCATATAAACAAGCTTTAGAAAACCCACCAAAAAGACGAACAGATATAAAAACAGGCCACGACCATAGAGAATACAATTACCACCTCCTCTTTCCTAACTCAAGACCAGAAAGAAATACTCAAAAAACACCAAAATACCCCTATTACTCTGAATCAGAAGAAAATTTCACACAAAACCAAACTAATATCCAAAATAAACCATCACCATCAACAGGAAAATCCAATCATCACCAGCCACCCAGTGCAGTTAATATTCTCAAAGCTAATGACAACGATCATCTATACACCAAACCTTTTCTCCTCGAATATATAAAGAAATGCCCTTTCAATTTCAAAAAGATTCTAATTCTAACAATTATGACAGAGTCTAACACTATGGAAGACTCTGACTCCTCATCATCCAAATTTTAAAGAACTCAATCAAAAACTAGTCATCTTGCAGTGGAACACCCACAGTGTAATACCGAACAGGGCCAACCTAATCAACTTTCTCAGAGAATACAATCCAGATGTCGTCCTCCTTAATGAAACCTGGCTCAAACCAGAGCTTCATTTCCACTTACAAAATTACCGTGTGTTGAGAAATGACAGAGATGATAGATATGGAGGAGTGGCTGTCTACCTCAAAAGCAACATAATATACTCAGAACCAAAGATCAATATCACTCAAAGCAACAACATCCAATACGAAATTATAAAAATAAAAAATCTCAACATTATCACTGCTTATGCCCCTGCTATGCCCCCTCGAACATCCTGGGAAAAAGCTACAGACTGTGGCAACAGCGACCACTTCCCAACAATAGCCAAGTTAAACTGCAAAATAGATACAAAATCCACTAGAGACTCCACAATCAATAACATGCCAAGAAGAATATTTCAGAAAGCAAATTGGACCGAATACTCCAATAATATTGACCTTGGAAGTGACCTCAAAGTTGCCCCGACAGGGGAAACGATGTCCGACATTATTCAGAGGGCTGCTGACCAACATATACCAAAATCAACAAAAAACACAAGAAAAATAGCAATCCCTGGTGGGACCACGAATGCACAGAGCAACTCAATAAAAGAAAAACAGCCATAAAAGACTATACAGACAACCCATCCATTGAAAAATTCATAGAAATTAAACATATGATAGCAAAAACAAGACGTTTCTTCAAAAAAAAATAAAAAAATAAAATTCATTGCTTATTGCTCGTCTGTAAATCGAGATTCCAACATTGAGGAAGTCTGGTCCAAAGTGAGAAGATTTGCTGGTAAACATGGAAAGGAAACCCAAACAAATGCTTCAGATGAGGTGAGAGGAAGAATCCTGGACAGGTTATCACTTTGCAGATCCCAACCAGAATTTTGTTTCCACGATGCGACAGAACACATACCATTCAGCATGGGAGAACTCCATGCTGCTCTAAAAGAAAAAAAGGACTCGGCCTCAGGACTAGACGAAATTTCCTACTCCATGATAATCAATTTACCAAGAAAAGCCAAACAACAACTTTTGAGCATATTCAATGGGATGCTCCGTGGGGATTCAATTCCTGAACAATGGAAACGATACTTGGTTCATGCCATATGTAAACCCAACAAAAATCCAGAAAATCCAGATAGCTACAGACCCATAATACTAGCATCATGCGTCTTGAAATCACTGGACATCCTCATAAAAAATCGACTGGAATGGATAACAGAAAACAAAAAAACATTTGCATGGCTACAAACAGCATACAGGAAAAAAAAGGGAGTCAACGATTGTCTTTCATATATCGGATCAAACACTACACTGGCTTTAAGTGAAGGATGCTCAGTCCTTGCGGTCTTTGTAGACATCAAATCAGCATATGACAAAGTTAATTTACAGAAACTGTATGAAAAATTAATCTCGCACAACATTCCCACAGAAGTCAGCAACCTAATATACAGAATTTTGGAAAAGAGAAGAATTTTCATCAAAAATACTCAGGGACAAATTATTGGTCCAAAAATGGTAAACTCCAGTCTACCACAGGGATCTCCACTTAGCACATTCCTATTCAATATATATATATCCAGGAAATATTTAAACTACTGCCGGAGGAAACTCAGGTTGTGGGATATGCGGACGATTTTGTTTTTTTTTTAAGGGGAAATCTGCCAATCAAATGGTAGATAAAATAAACCAATCCCTCGCTATCATTAGCAAATGGTTTAGAGCAAATGGCTTTAGATTGTCGTATGATAAATGTGAGGTAATCCACTTCGTCAAAGGAAACCGAAGAAGTGAAATTCAACCCATAAAAATAAATGGTATCACCATACCCTACCGAACATCTGTCAAATATCTGGGCATTCATCTGGACAGTCATCTCAATTTCAACAAACACACAGAATATGCAACTAAGGAAGCAAAGAAAGGACTCAACGTAATCAAATCCTTCTGCAGAGTTTGGTGGGGATCAGACCCACTGACTCTCAGAACAGTATTGGGAGGACTAGTAA